TGCAAAGTCATGAAGATTGGGGAAGGGCAAAGAAGACCGCAGACACAATATAGTTTAAGAGGGCCAAAGACTGCAAACCTCACTCAAGGAAAAAGTTCTGGGGTGAGTATAACACCGAGCATATCTCCTGAGGCGCACATCATTCAGATAACTGCTGCAGCATACGGCGCCTGGCAAACCTACGGATAGCGTTCCGATACCTCAGTAAGGATTCGTTTTAAGGGACTCTGTACCCCCATCTACGTCAGGCCCATACTGAGTATGCACCCACCAGTTTGGAATCCACACCTAGTCAAGCACGTCAAGAAATTAGAGAAAGTGCAAAGGTTTGCAACAAGACTAGTCCCAGAGCTACGGGGATTGTCCTATGAAGAAAGGTTGAGGGAAATCGGCCTGACGACACTGGAGGCCGGGAGGTCAGGGGAGACATGATAACGCCCATATAAAATACTGAGGGGAATAGACGAGGTGGACAAAGACGGGATTTCCAGAGAGGGGACACAGACACAAAGGTCAAAATTTGGGAAGTTGAAGACTCAATGAATCAAAGGGATGTTAGGAAGTATTTCTTCAGTCATAGAGTAGTCAGGCCATGGAATAGCCTAGAAAGTGATGTGGTGGAGGCAGGAACCATACATAGTTTTAAGGCGAGGTATGATAGAGCTCATGGGGCAGGGAGAGAGAGGACCTAGTAGCAATCAGCGAAGAGGCGGGGCCAGGAGCTGTGAATCGACCCCTGCAACCACAAATAGGTGAGTACAAATAGGTGAGTACAGGAACTGTGACCTGACCCCTGCAACCACAGGTAGGTCAGTATACACATACCCACACACTTTTATTTGCGCAGTCTAGCCCTTCCTTGTCCTGATTTTCCAAAACAACTTTACTTAAGTAACCTGGTAATTTAAGTAAATTTTTAATGAGGAAAGCCTACAGCAGTATATAAATTTTCATGTTCTGATGACACATATGTTATATTACATATATTATTATATTATATAGATTTAACCTTGACTAACCAAATAAAATCGAATAATGCGAATATTTCCAATTGAGGTTTTTATTATTACTCTTATTACATGGCGATATGTATGCTGACCAACATCTGTGTCGCCATTGTTGTTTACGACCATCCACACCTGTTGCCAAAGAGACACTGGGCTTGACTCTATCATCATTACTAATTCTATGTCATCACTGAAGACTCTTAACTCACATGATGACTAACAACATGCTCATTGGAAAAGCCAGGTATAGATATCCAAAAATCCGGGAAAAGGGAATTCATGTACAATTGCAAAGGATCCCTTCATGATAAAGCTGATATGTATGTAGCCAAGAAAAGTACCCTGAAGGAGAATGTAGAAAATAACTTTGGATATTTTTGGTCAATTAGGATAATATTAGGAGAAAGTAAAAAATTAAAATGAATTTTATGAGAATGCAAAAAAAAGTCGAGAGATCTGTAACCACTATGATAACTGAACTTGGAAATACGTTTAGGGAGAACTTGCAATGTGAACAACTGACTGATTTGTGTCCAGACTTAGTTTTACAAGTACTTCTGCAGGTGGGGGCCCGGGTAATAAACATATTAAATGAAAATTATGGGCCGGGGCCCTATGGCACATCTTGAACACTATGAAAAAGTCCACTTATATATAAAAAACGTATGTGACATGCCAAAGTATTTTATTAAAAAAAATAAATACCAGATACATTAAGAAGGCCCAAAATTTTGTTTGAAGCAGATAAGTGAACTGTAGATAAAACCCGAAGTATCCTGTTAACCCTTTTGGGCCAGTTCCTAGGCCTTTTTGTGTATCCATATGCTCTTGCGCTAGTCCACAGGATGAAATGGGGTACAAAATAAACTAGCCACACTTCGAGGGCAAAAATCTAATTTCCCCGGAGAGACAGTTGGGGCTGACATCTTTCCCCATGGTTTTCTGTATCATTTTAAAAACCCAAAATTTTTTCCCCGATGGGGATCGCAAGACCCCGGTTGGGGAAAAGAAGATGCCATCGTCTCCAAAATCTGACCCCCCCTGGCATCCTTGGTGGGAGGCCCCGCAGGGAAGAGGTAAAAGCGCTAGAAATGTAAATACAGCACAGTAAAGCCATTTTTAACAGACACTTTTCGACTTTTTTTGGGGCTTTTATAAAGTCACTTTGACTGGTTAAAGCAAAAAGGGCGAAAGTCTTTTTTTTACTTGGTGGCACCCCCCCCTGCATGGAGGCCATCTACCACGAACACATTTTGACGCTCTAAACCCAATTTTTTTTTATTCAGAGAAATTTATACTTAAATATACCATGTGCCTTTTGTGTGGGTTTCCCCGATGCACCCGGCTGTGTGAAGACCCGGAGTGACGGTGGGATGGTGACAGTGACAACGTAACACGCCAAACCCATCGCACCAAGTGCGGTACCCTAAACCCTGGTCATGAGGGCCCGGTTTATCGAAGAAAAAGAGTTCAATCAAGGGGATACGGGGGACAAAGGGTGGGGTAACAATATTACACTCCTACCTGAACTGGTTTTTTAAACAAACCTTTCATTTCCTTCGAAATGTATAACACTTTGAAAAAAAACCAGGGAAAACGGGGGGAGTTTAAACCCCAAATTTGGAGTCCTGATTTTCAGGACTACTTGCCAGGGGTTAAACCTCCATTCGTTCCGGGGTTTTTTGCATTTTCTTTTGTTGTACAGTTAAACCCCAAAAAAGAAGAAAATTTGATTAATGGGGTTTAACGTTTTATCGAAAGGAAAAAAATACTTATTTTCCCATTTTAGGGATTCAGTAAACTCACAATTATTATAATATTATATATATAATATAATATATATATTATAAATATATATAAAAAATAAAAATTAATTTTTTATTAAAAAAGAAAAAAATTGAAAAAAGGGAAAATTAAGGTTTTTGTACAAAATTTTCTTTTTGAGTTAAGAAAACGTTGGAAATTTTTAAATTTTTTAAGTTTGTTTTATTTTAAAAATTTTTTATGTTTTTATTTTTTTATATTTTAAAATTTTTTTTATTTAATTTTAAAATATTTTTTAAAAAAATTAATTTTATTTTTATTAAAAGGGGCGAAAACCAAGGAGGGGGCCCCGAAAAGAAAAAAAAAATCCTTTTCCCCTGTCTTAGAAGGGTGCACAAATTTTTAAAATGAAAATTTAAAATTTTTTTAAAAATTTTCCCCCCTTTAGGACCAAGTGGGCCTTTTTGAAACCCTTAAAATGAGGGGCAAACCCCCAAGGACGTCAAAAATTAAAACCTTTTTATTATCCCCTAAAAATCAAAATTGGGGAAAAAATGAAAAAACCTTTTAAAAACCCCCCCCCAATTCCTAGGGGCCCCCCCCCCCTTTTCCCAAAAAGCGAAAAATCTTGAAATTTTTTTTCCCCCATTTTTTTTGTAAAACCCCAAAATTTCCCCGGGGAAAAAAATTTTAATCCCCCCAAATTTTAACTTTAAAATTTAAAATTCCTTTAAAACAACAACATTGCCCCAGAATAACTCCCTTTCCCCGGTTTCCCCTCAAATTATCCCCCCTTCAAATTAAAAACTTTTTTCCCATTTCCCCCCCTTCCCCAAGGAAAAAACCCCTTTGGGGTCCCCAACTCCAAGTGAAAAAATCATTTTTTCCCCTTAACATGATTACCTTCCTTTTAAAAAGCCACTCCCCTTCCCCTATCTGAATTTTTCCCCCCCATTTTCCCCCCCTTGATATTAATTTTTTCCCAATTTTTTTTTTCCCAAAAATTTTGTTTTTAAAATTTTTTTTTTTCCTTTTTCAACCCAAAAAAAATTCATTTTACCAATTTAAAAATTAAAAAACCCCCAAAAATTCTCGGGAAAAAGGGGCTTGCAATCTTTTTTGATTTTTTCCCTTTAAAACCCCCCCTTTCCAAGCCCTCCTTTTTATTCTCTTACAACCCCATCTATAAATATTTAAACAACCAATATAAAAATTATATATATATAATATATATAAATATAATATATAAATATATATATATACCTGGAAAAGAAAAATTTCTTGATGCATAAAAACTTAAGAAAAAAATTTTTATGGGGTTTAAAAGTTTAGTTTAAAGGTAACTTTTAGTAGGTCTTACTAAGAAATTAATAAGCTGTAGCAGTAATTAGTATTTATAATGAGTTTTAATACACTTAAAAGAAAATTTCTTAATTGATTAAAAAAACTAAATTTTTACAATAGTTTTGTCATTTTTTTTAATTTGCAATCTTTTTTTTTCATTTTTCATTAATTTTGAAATATCGTTTCGAAATCCAATTAATTTAAACTTTTTCATATAACTAAAGTAGATTTTTTTGTTGGCAGATATGATAATCTCTAGAGGAAATCTTGTTAAGTTAAACACAATACAAACAAATGCGTGACGCAATACACGAAACAGATACACGATATATTTTTAAATTAATGGATAAGGTAATCAAAAAAGTTTTTTCCCAAATTTAGACCAAAATTTTTAATGGAAGCTATGGTTTTGGGTATACGTTAAAAAAATATGGGGAGGGGAGAAGAAAAAGGGAACGTCTAAAAACTCGATAAGGGCCCTTTTTTTTGGGGAAAGATGAGAAAATACTTGGTAACTAATTGCAAATTTATAATGTATAAGAAATAATTTGAGTAAGAAAACTTGTTTTTACGAGTTAACGTCAGGAAGAAAAATTAAACACTAGTTTTCATTTGCAAACTTAAGAAATACTAAAAAAATGCCAGAAAAAAATCTGTGGTAAATTTTTTAAAATAAACTGCAAAAAATAACGTTATTGTATGCTATATTCACTGAAAATGTTAAATCTGAATGATAAAATAATCAATGGACTGGAGAAATCACAAGAATCCTCAAAATTACATAATTACCGACAGTTACAAGAACATACATAAGCGGATAGCTGAGCAGATATTTTTATAGCTATCAACTATAAACAGGTTTACAATCTAAGGGTATACACACAGGTCTCTCAGAGGTTGTTAGACCAAGTGTGGCCGCGTCTGCGAGTGTTGGCGCGGTCATCACCACAGGACAAGTATATCTTAGTGAAGGGCATCATCAACTCGAAGTCAGGAACTGCCAGTCAGGTTGTTGCTGTCACTGGTGACGGCACCAATGATGGACCTGCACTCAAGATGGCCGACGTCGGCTTCGCCATGGTCAGTACTGGCAATTTTCAGATATGCAACTCCCTAAGGTTCCGGCAGAATGGGATATGTAAATTAAAGACCGTAGTGTATTTTAGTGTGCTGTTAAGAAACTTTTAAATAAAGTTTTGGATCGCAGTTGTAACTTTTTCTAAAGCAAATCTGAAGCAAAGTTCATATTCACTGCTAATGAAGTTATTATTTACAAAATATAGCAATAATAATTCTCAGGCACAAAAAGTGAGTAGCCCATTTTGCAGATACATGAATCTGATACAGTTAATTCCCTCACTGGCACTCTAGTTTATCTCAAGATTACTACTCCATAGGGGATCACAGGTACGGACGTGGCCAAGGAGGCATGCGACATCGTGCTGACAGACGACAACTTCTCCTCCATTGTGAAAGCAGTAATGTGGGGCAGGAACGTATACGATTCTATTTCCAAGTTCCTGCAGTTCCAGCTGACTGTCAATGTTGTAGCTGTCACGATCGCCTTTGTCAGCATCTGTATTATCAGTGACACTCCTCTGAAGGTATGTGCAAGGGTTTTCTCTAAATTAATATTAGTAGTTTTTTCGTAGAATAATATAGTGTAGTGCCCTTCAACAATGTGGCAGTTAGGTTAGGTATGATGAGTCAAGAAACAAGACAAGTGTTTCCTGACGGGTCTTATGTAGTCATATGATGACCCGCCACTGGAACTTTTGGTCATCTGAGCGAGGCCTTTCCCTGGTTTACCAGTCCGCCCCTTTAAAAGTTATGGAAAATTGATATCTGTTGTGAGGTCCCAGGTAGGCCCACGAGGAATTTATCACATCTCATTTACACAAATACTCACCTCTCTAGAACTGGTGAGACCAGCTCCTGCAACTGAGCATGAACGATCCACGTCCCTCTCAACTAAGCATAAAGTGCTAAGTATGTGTTAACTACTTATATAACTAGACCGCATGCAAGGTCTGAATATAAGGCTCTACGAACATGCTGGGTTTCAATGCTTCACTTTATAAAATCATAATTAAATTCTTTTTCAAAAATCTAGCATTTACTTATGAGAGTTTTGATAACAAAAATTTAATTAATACGTTTCCAGATTCACTTGTGGAGGGAGTTGAGGAGGCGGGTCTCATCTATCATGGCTTCGTTACTAAATTAACCATTCAGCATTTCTTTCTTCTTGTTAGACGAGCGATTAACTCCCGTGTTGTTGCCACTAACATCTACTGTAACCTTCTTCAAATGTATAGAAGTTTTATCATAACGTACAGAAAGATGAACGCTTACTGCACGAAATTAACTTATATTTATAATACATATGTGGATAGCCACACTAAACTCGACTCGACCCTAAGACCCTCCGTATTGCAGTGGCTCTGCGCCTTGCTGCCCCAATTCACACAGAATATACGTGTATTTGCGGCGAAGTGCAAGCAGACCAATACGGTCTACATGGTCTTAACTGTTCCAAAACCAATTGCTGGCATGCAAGACACAATGAGATCAACGACATCATTAAGAGAACCCTTGCTACAGCTGGATGCCCTGCCGAGAGGGAGCCCCGATCACTAGCAGCCAACAATACCCACAACCCAGCAAACTGCCCCGACGGGATCACCATCTATCCTTGGAAGAATGGCAAGCTCTTAGCATGGGACTATACCTGTGTGTCCACACTGGCTGACACCTATATCCATCACAGTGTGGGGCGACAGGGAGGAGCTACTGACCACAGGGAGGAGTACAAGATCAGCAAGTACAGGGACATAAGCCAACAGTATCAATTTGTCCCAGTGGGATCAGAGACCTTGGGATCATGGGGAAAAAATGCCACACGTTTCCTTAAAGAATTGGGTTCCAGACTCATCGACACCACCAGGGACCCAAGGGCAGCCACTTTTATGTTCCAGCGCCTCAGCATAGCCATCCAGAGGGGAAATGCTTGCTGCATACTTGGCTCGTGTCCAGCCTCGGAGGAGCTGGAGGAAATTCATGATCTTTGATACATTGTGCCATTGTATTCATGTTTATGTTTTTTTCTGTAAATGTATTCTGTAAATGTATTCTGTTTATTAATAAATGTTCACATAGAATATAAAATATATAGCGGTGGTAGGAGAAGAAAATATTCAAACAGCTCCGGGGAGAACCTTGAGGTTTTCCTGAGGTACGTTTATTGTCTTCTCTGAGGATGAGGGTCCCCATTCCAGCTATAGAGGTGGTACTTCCATATATGTATATATATATATATATAATATATATATATATATATATATATATATATATATATATATATAATATGCAATAAGGTGATTTCAGAATATGCAAAACAACTACTGTGAAAGAATAATGAAATTCCAAGCGCTTGGACTTGCTTAATACAACTTTCTCAACTTTTTGAAAATCAGTTTGATGGTTAAAATCTCTCACATGAATAAATAGGTAAAAGTCTCGAACTAAGATTAAAACAGATAAATAAACATTAGAATGGACAAGTTTCCCATGTTCTATTTATTCATGTGAGAGATTTTTTTAAAATTTGAATTTTTTCATAAAAAGCTTTTTGACATAATGTGAATTTTTTTTTTGGTTTTATAAATTAGTTTCATTTTAAAATAATAAAATTTTTGAAAAATTTTAAAAATAAAAGGGACAAATAAAAATCATAATTTTGGGTAGAATATTTTGTTTGTGGGATGGCGTAAAGGCCCTGTTAGTTGGGGGGGGGGGCTTTTCCTTTCTTATGAGTCGACGTCAGGTGTTGTTTGTTGTGGGATTGTGGTGAGGTGTGGTCTAGACCCTTTTTTTGCCTTCCTTTGATGCATCACTTATATTGTTCCTTGAAATGTGAGTAGTCCCCCCCCCCCAAGCGCTTGGAATTTTATTATTCTTTTCCCGTGGGTTTTTTTGCATTTATATATATAATAAATATTATTATATTATTTATATATATTTATATATATATGCAATAAGATCACAGAAAAGGTGATTTCAGAATATGCAAAAAACCACTCTGAAAAAATGAGAAATTCCAAACGTTTCGTGACTATCACATTATAAGGAAATTGAAAATAAAACATCCAAGGAAGCTATATAAGGGGTTGGCCAACACCCCACTATAGATCCACAACGGTTAAACACCTGACGTGCGCCGACCCCCCTGGATAGGGCCTTTGCACAACTCACCCCCAAACTATTTACCAAATTTAGAAATAGGTAATGATTTAAAATACCCAGAAATGTAATTGATAAAACTTTTAAAATTGCTAGAAATACTTTTACAATCCCAAAAAGGGACAACCACCTTATTTAAATAAAAATATGTTGGGTTTTCCCTTACCCTGAAAAATTGGTTAAAAGCCTTTCTTCTTAAGATTTTAAAATTAAGTTGTATTTAAATCTTTTACAGTTAAAAAAAAAATTTTGATAAAGAATTTTCCCCCGAATGCCGATGGATGTGTCTTAAGATTCCCTTGTAAAATTTGCGATAATGTTTATTTCGGTCAACTGGGGAAAAAATCTCGAACTAAAATTAAAAAAACATAAATTGCATTTGAACTGGGCAAGATTCCAATGCTTATTTTTATGTAAAAGATTTTAACCATCCAAATTTTTTTCAAAAAATTGAGAAAGTACTATCAAGCAAATCTGGTCACAGGATATAATTGAATCTTGTTTCTAAAAAGCGTTTTGACAATAATATGAATATTTCCCTTTTGGGTTTTATAAATTAGATCCCTTTATAATTAATAGAATTTGGGAAGAATTTAATAATACACTGGACAATAAATAGTTTGGGGGTGATTTTTGCAAAGGATATCCAAGTTGGCTCCCCGCGCGTCACGTGTTTAACCGTTGTGGGATTGATTGTGAGGTGCTCCCTAAACCCCTTATATAGCTTCCGGATGCTTACTTTCATGTTCCTTGAAATGTGGTAGTCACAAAAGCGCTTGGAATTTCTTTTTCTTTCAGAGTGGTTGTTTTGCATATTTATATATATATAATATTAATATATATAATATATATATATATATTATATTTATAAAATATTATATATATATATATATTATTTTTTTTTTATTATACCCCGGCCCGATTCCCCCCAAGGGGCAGGGGGGCCCGAAAAAAAAAAATTTCACCCCCATTCACCCCATCACTGTTTGCCAGAAGGGTTTTTTTACACTCAGTTTTTAAAATGCAAAATTAACCCCCTCTTAAGGTAGGCACGTATTCCATCTCCCGAATCAAGTCCGGGCCCGCCGGTTTCCCCGAATCCCCTTTATAAATGTTACTTTGCTCACACTCCAACAGCACGTCAAGTATTAAAAACCATTTGTCTCCATTCACTCCTATCAACCGCTCACGCTGCCTGCGGAAGTCCAAGCCCTCGCACACAAAAAACCCCCTTTACCCCCCCCCTCCAACCCTTCCTAGGCCGACCCCCTACCCCGCCTTCCTTCCACTACAGACTGATACACTCTTGAAGTCATTCTGTTTCGCTCCATTCTCTCTACATGTCCGAACCACCTCAACAACCCTTCCTCAGCCCTTCTGGACACAGTTTTGGTAATCCCGCACCTCCTCCTAACTTCCAAACTACTAATTCTCTGCATTATATTCACACCACACATTGCCCTCAGACATGACATCTCCACTGCCTCCAGCCTTCTCCTCGCTGCAACATTCATCACCCACGCTTCACACCCATATAAGAGCGTTGGTAAAACTATACTCTCATACATTCCCCTCTTTGCCTCCAAGGACAAAGTTCTTTGTCTCCACAGACTCCTAAGTGCACCACTCACTCTTTTTCCCTCATCAATTCTATGATTCACCTCATCTTTCATAGACCCATCCGTGACACGTCCACTCCCAAATATCTGAATACGTTCACCTCCTCCATACTCTCTCCCTCCAATCTGATATTCAATCTTTCATCACTAATCTTTTTGTTATCCTCATAACCTTACTCTTTCCTGTATTCACCTTTAATTTTCTTCTTTTGCACACCCTACCAAATTCATCCACCAATCTCTGCAACTTCTCTTCAGAATCTCCCAAGAGCACAGTGTCATCAGCAAAGAGCAGCTGTGACAACTCCCACTTTGTGTGTGATTCTTTATCTTTTAACTCCACGCCTCTTGCAAGACCCTCGCATTTACTTCTCTTACAACCCCATCTATAAATATATTAAACAACACGGTGACATCACACATCCTTGTCTAAAGGCCTACTTTTACTGGGAAAAAATTTCCCTCTTTCCTACATACTCTAACTTGAGCCTCACTATCCCCCGTAAAAACTCTTCACTGCTTTCAGTACCCTACCTCCTACACCATACACTTGCAACATCTGCCACATTGCCCCCTATCCACCCTGTCATACGCCTTTTCCAAATCCATAAATGCCACAAAGACCTCTTTAGCCTTATCTAATACTGTTCACTTATATGTTTCACTGTAAACACCTGGTCCACACACCCCCTACCTTTCCTAAAGCCTCCTTGTTCATCTGCTATCCTATTCTCCGTCTTACT